TAGCCTTTGATGTTGTTTGTGTCGGAGCGTCAAGCTTCGAGAAATTCTTGTGTTGTTTGGTATTGGCCATGGCAACCGCTTCCATTCTGTTGTGCGCAAATACGAGTGACAAGGGTTTACATCGGCATCCCCCCAAACGTGACCCACAATCGAAACGTTCACACTCCTCCCCCTGGGGCTCAGGCCTTCTATGCAACCTTTGTCGCCAAACATTCACTCCTCATTTCTTCTGAAAATGGGTTGGCGTAACCAGCCTGAAGATTCACGATTACACTTCAATGTTTCCTACGAGCCTTCATAATAAACGATAATTTATCCATATTGTTCCGTAAAATATACTTGAATTTAGAAAAATATCGAGAACCAGCGGGAAAATGCATACAACTTATGTCCAAGTCAACTGGTTTTGCAAAATCTTACACAGGGTTTCTAGTTACTTTTATGAAACCTCTGCTCGAGCAATTATCAAGCCCGCATCCGACGCTGACAACGAAATCGTGGCAATCAATGACTCGAAAGCGAACTGCCAAGACCGATTGAGACCACAAGCGGTGGTTACAGAAGCTGCTAGTGATAGTACACATGGGAATGGTCGCTTAGACCTATAAATGCCGCTCAATCTGTGAATGTATCACCCCGGATCTGCGCATGTCTCACATTAACCTACGAATACCTATGATTAGGGATTCTCGAAAGAATCTGAAACGTCAGGGAAGTAGAATTCTTGTTCCAGTGACCACATCTTCTGCCCCTCTCCCTACTGAGAGAGAGCACGTAAAATATGGTTTATCAGTCTTCTCAACAAACCATGTTCTGCTACTTTGCTACATTAATATGAATCCCAGTTCTGAATGAGATCTCTGTCTACTGAAAATTGGTCTTCCATTTGCCCATAAGCCTCTAATGGGATACTGCGGTAAGAGCGTTTGATTGTAGTAATCCGGTTTATATGTATTTTTGTTCTAAATCACTATCGATTCATGACAGCTGTCGGTTCGGCGAAATGCTCATATTCTGAGGGCGGGATGTCGCAGGCTTGATCTTATTTCATAGGGACAGCCTATCAACTGGTGTCAAAATTGGATTTATTATTTGAGAAGGGGGGGGGTTGTCAGTCGAACATAGTTTTTTCCAGTTTTTACCTTTGGACACCTACCAAATAGTCTCAAATGGAAGGTCAATATTGATATTACATATAACATCACTGCTGATTAGTTGATTATATGCTCATTAATACCTGTCCGTTTTTGTAAACTTATCGTCTTTCAGAAGTGTTTTGTAAATGAATTTTGATAATCGGTCGCAGGAGTAGACGATGCGGAAGTTACTTTAAGGACCACTGGCGCATACCATCTACAGTACGGCTCCGAATTCGTGCAACATGTCGACATTTGCGAAAGATTAATACACACTCGCTAATCGGCATTGTGTAAGGTTGTAATACTGATTATCGCGTAGCCTATTCTCAAGCCATTTAAGTCGCGATAAGGTGCCGGTTTTTCAACGAGCCTATTTCTGCCCGCAGACAGAAAATATATCCTGTAAAATGGTAGTACACATTTAACATTGGTTTTGACTGCCTTTATAAATTCAAGTATATTTTATGGAAAATGTAAATGAAAAATTCTTTCCTGTACTCGTTTGGTTTAAAGTTACCAATTCTTTAAATTTTATACTTAAACAAAGGGTATCCTTCGCTTTTAAAAAAAGTTTCTAACTATGAGCTTTTTTACGATTGTGAGGTAGTCATTCATAATAAATTGTATCCGTCAATTTATTAAAGCCGTTTATTGCAACATTTTATGAGAAGTATGTGACTTCTTCCTGAAACCGTAGGCAAAACCATACTTTTCCCTAAACAGGGTGTACACAGCGCGTAGTTTAATTCAGGTTTAGTAGTCGGTAGGTTTCAAGATTATTCGTCAATTTAGAAACTTTTAAAACCGAAAAATGCCCTTCAAGTATACAATTTAAAGAAGGCGTAATTTGCTACCAAACGACTACAAGAAAGAATTATTCGTGCATGTTTTCTCTAAAACATATTTGAATTTATAAAAGCGGTCGAAATCTATGATAAAAATGCAGACTACTTAAGTAACCATTTTTTCACACTAAACAACGTTTTGTTAGCGGTCAGAAAGAAGCTCGTTTAAAAGCCGGTGTCATATCGTGACTGAAATGACTCGAGAATAGGCAATACGATAATCAGTATAACAACCTTACTCAATGCCGATTAGCGAGTGCGTATCAATTTTTCGCAAATATCGACATGTTGCACGAATTCGGAGCCGTACTGTAAGCACTCATTTTTTCTATCGAGTGTAGTTTTGGCTGTCGGTCGGAAAGAAGCTCACTCAAACGCCGACCTTCTGGTTTGACTGAAATATCTGGACGAAATGCCCTACAATAATCAGTATGAAAACCCCTCTCTAAATAGTCCTCCCTCTAACTGACAACACTTTTGAATTTTGGCCATTACTTAATGAGCGAGAACAAGTACTGCACTTTGTGTCGCCTGCTGTTGAATATACAGTCACACGAGGGGGTTGGGGAAAGGGTGGTTGAAACTTGTGCACTCGACAGGAGACTCCTTTGCAGGCCAACTACGGTTGTACTCTTCAACTCTGCTCTGTTCATAACATGATGAATAACGAAAACTTATGAGGTAGGACAGAGAAAGCCAGCATGACGTTTCCAGTCGCTTGATATTTACTCATCATCACTGTGCGAGA